CTCCTTCATCATAGTTCCTCGCGCGGATGTGCGATCCTTTTCATCCCGAAATTTACGTCCCGATTCGAAAGCATCATCTTCGAAGTCCTGCGCGGGAAAAAGAAGAGAAAAATAGCGGGACTCCTTTCATCCGTACGTATGTATATTCATCTCACTTGCGCACACAAAATGGTGGCGGCACATCCAAACGACGGCGTATCGTATCGACTGCGTCGTCGTCGCGGCTTAATTAAATACTAGCGGCGGACGAAACGCGACGAATCGTCCGCATACATATGAGAATCGGCAATGAGTTTCCGTTGGAACGCGGACTTGGACATAAATTGTCAAGCGCCGTTTCATTTCGACAGCTCTCTCCGACCCCCTGCTCCCCTCTCTCTCTCTCTCTCTCCCTTCGCCGTCTTCCCTTCGGTGGTCGTCTTTCAGTTGTTACCGCAAACTCCTCCATTCCTTCTTCTTCTTCTTCACCGCACCCTCTATTTTGTCGCTGCATCTCCTTTCCCGACTGACTGGAAAAGCGTCCCACGGGGCCTTTTCCTTTTCCCAGGCCCCAAGCGCGCACGCTTTATGGACGCATTTTTTCCTGAAAGGACCTACCCCATGGTTCTCGGAATCGATGGGCTTCCCTCCCTCTCATCCCCTTCGCACTCGTTCTTCTATCCTCTTCTCTATCCTCTTCTCTTTCCTCCGCCTCCTCCGTGTCCACGCAGAGTTTTCGGTTTCTCATTGGACACCTTCTCACGAAACGCGGCGGAAAGGCCGCGACCGAAATATTACTGCGACGTAATTGAGCGGGACTTCGGCATTTTCTTAAAACCGCACCCGAGTTAATGAGTACCGATCGATTTTCGGAAGTCTCGCCGGAAGTTGTCCGCGTAGAAATGACAAAGAACGTATGCTCGCGAAAATCGCTATAAAATACACCAGAGCGAAGGCTAGTTGGCATGTAAGAGGGAAAGAAAGAGCGAGAGAAAGAAAGGTAAATGTAATACAAATGTAATATGTAAACACTATCGAAGTTTCCGCAGCGAAACCGGATTCAATTTCGTCGAACAAATACCAAAAGAATATAACGTGCAATAATAATATTAAAATGAACAAATCGTGTAAACATCGAGAGAGGACGTAAGTGAACGGAGAAAGGAAAGGATGTACCTACTACAATAGTCCACGTTTCAGCTTTACATTATAATAGTGCAAAGGTGGAAATATGGACAGTCACGAGGCTTGATATCGCTTTTGTGTGTGCGTGTATGAGGAAAGAATTGGCTAGATCCGAAATCGAATGGCGGGTCCCGTCTCGTTGTTGTCGCTCGTTACGATTTACAGATACGACGATGTGAGAAACTCGGAATCGTATACCGGCTCGATCGAGGGTAAAGAAAGAGACAGGGCGCCATCGAGGTTCCCACGCGGCACCCTGCTCCGTTTCGCGTAGGCGCGTCGGTATGTTACAATATTCAAGATAATCCTAAAGAAGGTTATATATCTGATTCTCGAGTTGCATCGTCCCGTCTGAGAAAAGAAAGTCNCCCCCCCCCCCCACCCGGCGGGGACCTGCGCGACGAAGTTCCCACGGATTAATTTAATAGCGAACGAAAGAATTTCACAGGTATTAACACTTATTGCCAAAGTTCGAACATTACCGCCATCTTTCAGGACTCAGGCGCCCCCTAGAAGCCGTTAGCAGTAACACCGAGGATTTGGCTAAATGGCGCTATTTTTTCGACGATTCAAGTAGCCGTGAGAAACGGCAATCCTCGTCGAATTGTCAAACCTCAATGTCTGTCCAGATAATGAACGCTATTTACTATCATAGTAACGCATCGAACACTTTTCCGTTGCAAAACGTTTTCGTACCAATTGTGTGTCAAGTGAAAAATAGACGTTTATCAATTGTTAATTTTATTGTGAGGAGATGATTTACAATAATCTCATTCGTCCTACATCTCGATATATAGCCGATAAAATCGATCTGATCAAAACAAAATCGACTTTACGAGAATAAAACAATCGATAAATATTAACGATATGCGATAAAAACTAATGACTTTGGCAAAATGAAGAAACAAATCGAGGAAATATCACAGATAAGGGTGCAATTCGCAATTTTCCCTTTCTGCTAGGATCTTGATTTTACAAGTTCACCCCTAACTGTATCAGAACACGGCGCTTTGAAATTGTTCCGATACGGTGGCATCACATGGAAAAAAAAAGGAAAAGAACACAAATCGTGCAGTAGGTCGGGATTGCAAAAATTCTAGTCCCTCACAGAGCGAGTGGGAGAAGCGCGGCGGGAAAAAGGAAGACGAGAAGATATCTGTCAAGGAATCGGGACCGCGAAGGTATCCTCGAGAATTCCAATTCCGGTTTTGGTCCCGAGAGAGGCCAAAGAACGCGTGCGGCCTGATGTTCAAAACGATGCTGTGTTCGCTCTCCTCCCACCCCCTTTCTCTCCCTCTTCCTCTCTCGCTTTCGTTCTTCTCTCTTTCCCTCTACTACAATCTCTGTTCGTCTTTCCCCCAGATCGGTCCGCGAGCCCAGTCATTCACAGAAAACACAGAATGCAGACGGTCACGTAAGTCGTAGGCACCGAAGTGCCGGCGGGGAAGGGCCCGAAAGAGGGAGGAGGCGAACAGAGATGCGAGCGAGTGTGCGTGTGTGTGCTATGGCGCCAGGCGATTCACCGATTATATTCTTACCGTTCTTCGTCGCTTTCGTTATGCGGAGAGATGGAGGTGGAAGCTTAGTTATTTCGGCACCGAGCATTACTTTTCTAGCGATGTCGACGAATCGCGATCGAACGATCGAGAGAACGGTTTCTAAGACACAAGTTTGCAAACACGGGAAATTTTAACCCACGATTTCCTCCCTTCGTATTTTATTACTATATCTCCGGATATATTTCGAAACGTCGGCGCTTTCATTATATTTTTTCTATTTCGATGGACAATTGGTATCTCTTTACTAATTTGTGAAAACATTTTTTCTTAACTTTGAGAAGAAACTACTATATTTGATCTCGAGTTTTACACTGTGCATGCAAAGTCCGGTTTTAGCGCACTTTCCGACCGCGATAATTAGTCCCGCTTGAACCGGACGCAATGAAATTACACGTATATCCTATTCTCGTGCATAGTAAATGGCAAACCGAATCGCAAAGTAAATCGATCAAGATATCGCGACGCACGTACAGTGTATCTCCAAGTGTAAAAAAAAAAAAGTAAGAGGTGTAAAAGAATTAACACCGGAATGCGATCCCAACGAATCTCACGAGCAATTTACTCGCGAGTGGGAAGGAGGAGAGGGATAGAGAGAGAGAGAGAGAGAGAAAGAGAGAGGAGTGAAAGAATGGCGAAAAAAATAACCGATGAAAAAAAGGTAGAAACGCTCGTCGATCGTTCGTAGTTGCGCACCAGAAAACCGACCGGGGTAGTTCCCATCCCTCGTGTGCGTTTCGGGCACTGTGTCGGTGGCCCGTTTCTCGGAAGGACCTCATTCGTTGCTCGGTGCTATATATCTCCTTCGCCCCCCCCCCCTCACTCTCTCTCTCTTTATCCTCCCTCTTTTCCTCTATCTCCCTTCCTCTCTTTCATCCTCTTCTTTCACCGGTGTTATGCCAAAGAGAAACCCAGGATATGCCGGGAATAACTGCACTCCTACGAAAATGTGGGCAGACACATTCATGAACGCGTATACCTGCGTGCATGACGAGTTGGGCGCAATCTTTATCGTTTTTCGCTCAATCGAACATGTACGAAAATTCGCGTATTAGAAAAAAGTATCAGCAGTCGGGCGTGATAAAGAGAAGGGTCTCCTTTCGTAATGTCCGATTATAAAACGATTACGCAAAAAGAGAATATACGACAGAGAAGACGAAAAATACTGAAAAGGGTAGAAGTTAACGGAGGGACGGACACAGAGGATGTAGAGATGAAGAAAGACCAAAGGATGAAAAGAGGATGAAAAGAGGAAAAGCGTAGAACAAAGAGGGATACAAAAACCAAGCGGAAGGAGGAGTGATGCAACAAAAGGGTAAGATACTTCAAGAATCAAGAGCGAATACGAAAAGAAGAATGGGAAGAATGTAGGACAAAAAGAAGAGGATCGCAAAAGAGAACGAGGAAGAAACCCTTAACAGGGGGTCGAGTGGAAAAGGGATAAGCGATCTACGAAAGTATTCAGTGGCGCCGCGCGTGTGAAGGAAGGGAAGGGACAGAAAATAGAAGTTGTCCGCACGATCACAGGCGTGGGGCAAAGAACGGAGAGGGTGGCAATCTTTCGAGATTTGCGAGAGATAGAATCTCGAAGATGGGCTTCGCTCGCCTCTAGGAGGGTAGGATAGAGTATAGAGAGTAGACTATAGTAGACTATAGTAGAGTCGAGTATGGTAGAATAGGTAAGTTGGTAACTAAATAACTGGCGAGTAAGCAATGGTTAAACAGATAGAAAAGTAACTAGGTAGGTAGGTAGGTAGGTAGGTAGGTAGGTAGCTAGATAGGTAGCTAGGTAGGTAGGTAGGTAAGTTGGTTAGTTGGTAGATTGGGTTGGTAAGCAGGTAGGTACGTAGGTAGATAGATAGGTAGGTTGGTAGGTAGGTTGGTAGGTAGATAGGTAGGTAGGGTGGACGAACGAAGGAGACGCGGCAAAGAGGCGGAGGTGCAGAGAAGCAGCCGGGAAGAAGGGGGAGAAAGGGGGCGGATGTCGTGGAATGCGGCCGTGGTCCCGGTATATACGCGCGTCGGTCCTGGCCTATGCTAGGGTATTTGTGTATTTATGTGGAACACCGGAGAACTTCGTCGATGAAAGAAAGAAAGAGAGAGAGAGAGAGAAAGAGTGGAGGGGAAGAGAGAGAAAGAAAGAGAACGTGGGAGCGAGAAGAGCGGGAGAGGGAGAGAGAGCCTTCTCCTGTGAAAGGAAAGGACAAGGACGGAGGGAAGAGCCAATGGCCAGCCAAGGTGTGCTGCCCTTTCGTTACGAGGGAGCGAGTAGGTACGTACACTTGAGAGAGCATCCGACTATGCAGCAAGAACACCAGGAAACAAACGACAGCCACCCCACCATCACCATCGCCACAACGCCCATCTTCGCCCCGCTTCTTTCCTTCTAGTCCTCCCTTTTCTTTTTTTCGCACCACGCTGCGCCGGTCACGCTGGTCCCCTCTCCACCCCTCGCCTCTCTCGCGTTCTCGCTCCGCTCTGTTCCTTGAAATTCCACCGCGGAGTACCGCGTCCCTGAGGCTGCTTCCTTTTGGAAGTCTCAGACGCACCGCGAGGTCAAAACACGCGCTACACTGTCGGAATTTCTGCGTAAGTAGTTGCCGCCTGTATCTTACGAGATCGATCGCTCACCCGTGCCGTTTCCCCTCAATATGAATCGTGAGAGCGGTTGGTTCGTTAAATTTATCAACCGATGATTCAGATCTTTTTTTTCGAAGACTGAAAACTCGCTTTCAGAGGATACAATCATCCGGGTCTAGTTCCAAGTTAATACCAAGATCTATGCGAGATTCAGAATGAAAAAATTTGTACGAGAAGGAAAGGTACGCAATATTCAAATTATCGTGAAGTAAAGTCCAATTAAATAAATTCGCGAAAATCTCGTTATTGAAGGGAAACTCGCGTAAAGAGACGTTCAACTTTCGCAAGATGAAGCCGTAACTCGATAAACCTCCCTTGACTCTCCGCAAATTAATAAACGTACAATTTGCAATCAAAGATCGTTACTTATCGTTCGCCGACCGCACGTCGGCATGATCGATCAATGGCGGCCGATTCGCACCTCGAGCCCGACGAATTTCCCCGAAAAGCGCGGTTAACTCGCACGAAAACGATAATCCCCCCCCCCCTCCCACATCGTCATCCTCTGCTAATCCTTCCTTCTCTCTTTCTCTCGTTACCGAGAACGACAAGCGCAACGCGAGCAACCAGTACGTGAGAGAATGCCGTCAATAAGACGGCAGTGATTTCGGAAGGGAGCGAATGGAGTCGCGAGAGGGGACGGGCGCGAGTGGGAGGGGGAAGGGAAATGTCTGGCGCGGGACCCTATCGCGGATACTGTACGCATCGAGTACGAATCTCGAATACCGCGCCGCGAACCAGTCTTGGAGAGACCGCAGCGGTGCCGGTATTCGAACCACGTGGCTCTCTCTCCGTCCGTCCGGCAATCGCGACTTCGGTCGCTTTCGTAATCGCGTTGACAGGAGGCAGGGTCACAGTCGCGTACTTCGACGCTTCGTGCGCGTGATACACCGTAAGCCGTTCTCCTTCCCGGACGCGTTTTCTTTCGGCAGTTTTCTTCGCGCACACCCGTCGTCCGCCTTCCGATCGTTCAATCGCAACGCGTGTCTCCTTCGGTAATAGACCGGCGATACTTTGCTCATCTCTTACTTTCGATTTAAACGAAACTCATGTAAATACGTAACTCGACGGTGGGGATAAAGCGACTCCGCTCCCCTGATTTCTCGCACACGAGTCGTAAGAGTCGTATAATCCTTGAAACGCGCGTTATCCGAGCGGAAAAAGTATTTCGGCGGGACGCGCGCACAACGGCGTGTTTCGATCGCGGTGGTGAAATTCCGACACGTTGTCGATGGATGCGCGCAATAGTAGGAAAAAGGAAACTGCAAAAGTCCTCCTTATCTCACAACCTACCTCCCTCGCTCGCTCGCTTGTTCTCTCTCTCTCTCTCCCTCTCTCACCGTCTTCTCTCGTTGATCGTATACGAAAAGACAGAGGTCGCGCCGTCTCTCTATCTCTTCGAGAGCTCGAGGCGCAGCGTCTCGGGCGGTCCATCGGCAACGGTGGTCCCCCTTCCTATTCCGTGACACTTGAGCTTTCGGTGGAGGGACACAACGTGCGTACGGACGTTTGCGCGCGCGCATACACGGTCAAGCGTGCACGATACGGCAGAAGAACAGAGAGAGGGCATGTAAGGAAGGAAAGAGAGAGAAAGAGAGAGAGAGAAGCGTCGCGAGCGTCGTGGGAACCGAGGAAAACGTTTCCCGCATACCACCCCCCTCCCCAAGCATTCTCTCTCTTTCTCTCTCTCTCTCTCTCACACACACACACATACACAACTAAACCAACTAACACTTCGTCTCCCTTTCGCCTCCTTTGCCACCAATGACGCACACAAGGCAGATACACGTACACGCACTCACGCATGCGTGTGTCACACACATACACATGCGCGCACACTAGAGGTACGCGAGCGAGACGTAAGACCACGTGACCGACCGTAACTTTCACAGACGCGCGCGACTCGTTTCGTCTCACTCGTCTCGCTCCCCTCGCACCCACTCCACCCAGAGGCCCTCTTCGATCCCCCTTCCCTCGCTCATTCTCTCTCTTTCTCCCGACCCTTCCTCCCGCACATCCACCCCCCGTCTCTCCTACTTCCTCTTATACTTATTCGAACGACGCAGTTGCTCCCGCGGTAGGTACGCGCAACTGCGTCGTAGGCTTCTCGCCGAGAACGAGATCTGCGTACTACGGTGCCACTTCCTTATTCGACGCGCACCGTACGGCGAAGCGCGCGCGCACGCACGCACTGTCGGAGAGTCGTTTCGGCAGCCGTTCTTCTCTCCCGCGACAGTGCACAATATAGCGCCCGTCTTCTGCCATGAACGTCTTCCACACGCCTCGGAAGACGTCAATGAACGCGAGGCACAGAAGCGCTCTCTGTGTCGTCCACGTATAATTGACAACGACGAATTGGCCGAATAACTAGCTCGTAACTTGAATCGAACCATTTCGAATTTCGCTTATCCCCTAACGTACGATCCGTTTCAAACGAACAATTTATACGTACCCCTGAAATTAAGCCATCAGATCACATCAACGCACGAATCTCAATACTTTCGCAAAGCAAAATTCAAGTATCATTCCGTTTCGCCACTTGTTACATTTACAGAAACCTATATTAATTTCATATATTTAATAAATATCAACTTACATATTACTGGCAACTAGAACGGGTACTTCCTGCTTGTTAAAAAAAAAAAAAAAACTTTATCTTAACTTAGCAATAAATAAAAATACAGGGTGATTATTTCGCAAGTAATATGGTGTCCGAATATTCTTGCGGGGATCACTGTAACTTTTCCTTAAAACTTAAGCCAATAGAATTTTTCTCTTCTCATGAAGAAAGAATAGGCGGGGGTTGAACGAAGGGAGAAACGAGATGTAAAGGCGAAAGAAGGGGGGGGGCAGAGAAAGAGAGAGGGAGCGATTAAGGGGGCGGGGGGAGATTTAAGAAGCGACAAAAGAGGAGGATAAACGAGGAGTCGGAGAGGGGAAACGGAGAAGGCCGCATGAAAAGGGACCGAGGGAGGTCGCCGCCCTTCCAGGAACCCTTATAAACTTGGGCCCGATCTTCGGGCCTTTTTCTCCCTGTCCCTACGCTCCACGTTCCGCGTGCGCGCACGCGATCCGCTAGAGCGATCCTTGCGCGAATACCATTGCACGAGAAGTGTATATGCAACAAGCGAGCGCGCGATACGCATATTTAGTTTGCAACGAAAGGATTCGTCATTTCGGGAAATTGAGAAAAGTCCGACAGCACTAAGACTTCTATCTCTGTGACTCTTAAGCGATACGCCTACGGTAACAATTGCAAGACCGAAAGTAACAAGTTGCACGCGTGTTCGACTTCATTCTTTCCGTTCGTTGCTATGACTTCTGTACCGGGGAACTCGATTCCTCGGTACTTTGATCGAATTGATCCTCGAACGAAAGGCGTCCTATAAACAGAAGGGTTGCGTCGATAGTTGGACGCGGGTGCACCGCGTAGGAGCGCAAGTGGACCCTTGTCGAAGCAGATTTCTCGAAGGCACGCCAGCGGCGTCGCGGTCGTAACGCGAGTCAGTCAAGAAGACGAAGAAAACATCTATCCCGACGACGACTCTGCGCGCGCCCCCGGGAACGACGGACGGGAGAGCAGCGAGTAAAGTAATCACTGGCAAAATTGGTTGACGAGATAGTCAGATTGGCCGCTGGCCACTTGGTTGCTCGATTGTCCAGACACGCCTCCGGCGAAATGAAATTTGATTTTGTCGGGCAATTTCGCACCCAAATCAACCACCCCCTCTCGCGACTGCCCCGTTGCCCAGCGTAGGAACGGGGGCCGTACGGGGGAACAGGCGGGCCAAAAGTACGACTGAGGGAAGCAGAAAGAACCACGCGGAGGCTGAGTGAGTGGGTGAGGTATGCGTGAGAAAGAGAGGAGAGAAATAGGAAAGGGGAGGAAGGGAGAGAGAGAGAGAGAGAGAGAGAGAATCGTAACCTCGTTAAGAGCCGCACTCTCGCGGTATTGGTCTCATTGAACGTCCTGGAGCATCTTCCCGAAGCACCTAGCGCACCCTTAAGAGTTCAAAGGGTGGATAGCGAGGGTTGCTTCCTCTTCGCAGAATGGCGGGCAAATGCACGACAGGCCGATTTACGTGTCTGGAAAACTGCCGTGATCACCTACGGCTGGCGGGACAAATCTCAAATGGCGTAACTGAAATTTCCGGATTTCGGCGCGAAGCGTTCACTTTTCGTATTCTCGAACCCCAGATTCGGCGATAGGTCAAAAGAATAAGGTGTGATAAAGAGGAAGTACATTCGCGTTTGCGAGCGGAGCTCTATTTTCCGTGATTACATCTCGGGAAGGCGAGCTCCGGGTCTCTTAACTTGTTTCCCGCGAGATTGACGCCAGTCGTCATTTGAGAGATGGCATTTCCGTTTCCAAATAATCATACGAGATAAAATCCCGACGTAAATACACACGAACGTTACTCACGGATATACTACGAATGGTTTACATCGAAGTTCGCGAACCCCGCTGCTACAAGTAAGGGAAAAACATCATCTCTGACGAATGCCATCGTCACTCAGCGAGGTCACGCCAAAGAAGCCGCGCTATGGCGGAAAGAGGTGGAAAAAGATTTTCCGGCTCTTGCTTTTCCACCTTCCCCTCCTCCACGGGTGTGCGTTTCGGCGGGCGCGCGCGTTTCTCGATTAAGCGCCGGAGACTGCTGAAAATTCGATTACACGAGGAGGCGCGACCGAACTTCAAGGGAACGACGACGGTACAGGGATTGTGTTGTGCGTTTGGGTAATTCAATTTCTTTAAAGTAATTACTTGTTGCTTCCACCGTGAAAGTTTGTTTCTATTTCAAGGCGCGAATGTTGGTAACTGCGCCTCCTTGTCGGCGGCTTTACGTCGTACTTTCTCTCTTTCTCCTTCCGCCAACGTCGATCGATCGGCGAACGGCGAACTCGTTGCGAGTGTAAGGATAAATTTTAATGG